GGAAGTAGGTAAAGGAGGGTTGACATCAGCTCCCCACAAAAAGATGGCGGGGGTTTTAAAAAGGTTCCCCGGGCGTGAAAAGTTGCCTTAGAGAGGTAATGTAGGTTTCCAGGGATAACCACGATCAAAGAGGGGGCCCCAGAAACTTGCGTATCACGTTCAGGGATGGGCCCTAAGGTAAAAAAGGATGTAGAGATGACAGAGCGTCTAGTGAAAGTGGTTGGTGGGTTTTAGTGCTGGAAATTTAAACCCATGTGGGGGTGGCCCAATTGGAAACACGGTCGACTGCATGCTGGAGAGAAACTGTAAGGAGGTGACAGTCAGCCCTGCACAGGCAATAGCGAAGTCATCAACATAGAGTGATGCCCAAAATATTTGATGGAAGAAAAGGGGGCAAATCATTAATAGCAAGGAGAAAAAGTGTTGTGCTAGAACAACCCCGGGGGGGACACCTTCAGTTTGGGGACAAATCCGGGGAGAGCACTTTATTAACCCGAACAGGAAAAATGCCGGGGTCGGGGTTTAAAAAGTTTTAAGGAAGGAGGGTAGTTGCCTCGAAGGCCTAAGGAGGGGGCTTGGGCTAAAAATTTATACCCCAAGTTGTGTCTATGCCTTCTCAAGGTCAAAAAAAAGGGCAAAAAACGAGTGGTTTTCGAAAAGGCATTACAAACATAGTATCCAAGCGCGTAAGGGGGTCTAGGGTGAACGCCTTACGAAACCCTTTTGCGAGGGGAGGACTGTTGTGTGTCTTAAATACCACACTAAACGTCTTTTATAGACGTTCCATTATTTCAAACGCCGGGTAAAGCAAGGGGGACGATGTGGAGGTTTCATGCCCCTAGTGCCTGGTTTGCGGAAAAGGGAAAACAATGGCGGATTTCCCAGCTGGGGAAGAACCCTTGTGCCCAAATAAATTGTAAAGGTGTAATAGGACTGCAAGGGTGCTGATGTAAATGTTGTAGCATACGAATATGAATGTCGTCGGGCCCACTCCCGATGATCGAAAGCTGAGAGTGTTCCCTCCGTTCTTAAAGTGTAAAAGGACATTATATGTTTTTCTGAGAAAAGAAAAGCCCCAAGGGTGCAAACTCTCTGGCAGACTTTGAGGAAAAAAATGGGGGGCATAGTGGATCCCTGAGAAATAGGCAATGTTTGCCAAATTTCATTGGAAAACATCTAGGGGGTTTTGCTTACAACCCCGGGCAACCCGCAGAAAGGACCCGGGTCGGGGAAAATTTCCCATCAGTTTTCGTATTTTTTTTCCAGACTGCACTCATAGGGGAAGCAGAGGTGATGGTGGAGACATAATCCCCCAGCAATGCGTTTAGCGTCACGGATGACACGGCGAGCGATCGCACGCTTCTTTTAAAAATCAAGGAGTCCTTGTGGTTCTTTTGTCCCGGTCCCTGCCCCATGCAGCCGTTTCAAACGATGCACGAGAAAAGCGGAGACCAAAGGCAGCATTTTGAGAAGCCTGCCCGAAGTTTGGGGTAAGAATGAAAAGCGGGGGGGGAAAACGGGGACGAAAAGAGGGTAAAAGTCTCGATGGAGGCGAAAAAAGGAAACCCTCTTTAAAAAAGTCAGGTGTGGTAAAGGTTTCCAATTTGCCCGTTAAAATTGCAGGGGGGGTGCGAAGAGGGGGCAAAATATGAAGGGGAAGAAGAATGATTGGGAAATGATCACTGCATTAAGCCCGGGAGAACAGACCAATAAAGTCAATGGGGCGGGGAAAAGAGCAAACTGAGAGATCGATGCAAGGAGATATGGTCCGAGGATCAAAATGGGTGGGGGAGTACCTGTATTTAAAACATGGAGGGGGGGGGTGGCAAAAAAAGCCTCTAAATGAATTCCACGGGAATCACAGTGGACCCTCCCCCGAGGAAAAGGTGGGCATTAAAATCACCAAGTAACGAATCGGGGGGCGGGGAATGCGAAACAAGGAAGGCAAAATCCGGAATAGATAATGCCCGAGAAGGAGAGGATATAAAAAACAGAGGTTCCACCTATGTAAGTGGGTACGGGGTGCTGTGTAATGCGCGAAGTATGAACCAAATAGCTGATGGAGGAATATCATGCGAGAAAAGGGGCCCTTTTTTAAGGGTCCCACAGGAAAAGGACTGAAGAATACAAAAAATATAGCTTGAGATGTGAGAAATAACAGCAGAGTGTAAATTTTTTGGGTTCCCGTAAGCAAACACCAACAGGGGGAAAAATGGGAAGTAAAATTGAATCACCCCGATTACCCCCGAGGCCGCGTATATTCCACTGTAAAAAGGCCATGATTGGGGAATGATAAAAATACTTGAAACCCAGGTAAGGGTTTCCCACGGGCTAGAAGGGTTAGAAAAGTCCACATGCGGAGGCAGTGGAAAATGTTCAAGCACGAAGGGGAAAGGTCGCTGGAAGAAAGGAGTTTCGCAGTGGGCAGAGGAGAGAGAAAGGCGGAGGTGGATCATGTCCCTTGGGTTTTGGGCCTGCAATATATTCAGAGATTGCTTCAAGTGTTTTGGAATTCAGAGATGTGTAAGGAGAAATATTGGGGAAAGGGAGGGGGATGAGTAAAGATTGGAACTGTATTGGGCTGTTTTTTTTCCAAGGTAGGGGGGGGGGAAAGGGGGAGGGAACTGGAGAAAGGTGGCAGGGGCAGAAAACAGGAAAAACCCGGGGGGGTGGCAGAAGAGGAAGAAACTTTGGGAGGGAAAGGGGGGGAAGGTACATTAGAGGAGGGGGGTGAACCTCTGCACTTGTAACTGAGCCCCGTGAGAGGGGAAGAACTAGGGGCAGAGACAGGGGGGGGTAAAATGGGAGGTGGAAATGGGTAGGAGGTGTTTCCCGGCCCTTTTTTTTTACTTTTGGAATAGAACGATTGGGAAGAGGTGTCGTACGAGGTCTCGCGATACTGAGGCTTGTAGAGAGAACTCGAAGAAGCGAGATTAGACTGAGGCGTTGAAAATAGGGGGTTGAGCGAGGAAAGCAAAAGGTTAGATACGGAGTGATTATGGGAGAGGTAACCACAGAGGTGGGTGAGAAGTGGGATACCAGAAGTGGGGGACGTTTTGAAACACGGGAATAAAAACACGTGGGGGTCTCCCCTTTGGGGCGGAGATGAGAACTGCCCGGATAAGGGGGACCTTCGTCTCTTTGAGGTAAAGGATTCCCCCCGTTTTTTAAAAAGACCTGACAACGGCGAGAGTACAAGGGTGGCCTCATGACAGTTAAGGCAAAGGGAGATCGATTGCAAAGACGATTAGAAGGGGCATCGGCCCACAGACTGGGCATTCGGGGTAGATCGCAATATTTCCTGGATGGCCAAATCGCCAGCAATTTTTACATGTTGTGGGGTAGGGATCACCTTCGAAATTGTAAGAGTCCTGTATAAAAACGGAGGATGGGAGTTCTGGCTGTCAAAGTTTAAACAGCCACATTTCTAGGGTATCGTCCGCCCCGGGCAGGAAGAAAGTAAGTGTCTACCCTTTAGGATTGGGAGATCTTGGAGTTCCAGGTTCTAGAATGGTGCCCCCTGCTGGAAATTTTGTTTAACTATGGATGGGCAGAATAACGGGACCACTACAGAATTAGGGAAAAATGTTTTTCAAGGGTGAAGGAAAAGTATCTATATGGGAAGACGAGAGAGCTCACGGCCGGGGAGCATTCTGTAGGTAATGTGCGCTACCGCTTTAAGAGCAGAAAAGAAATATCTTTACCAACATGGCTAGGGTGCCCTTCCAATATATGGTCGAAAAATAGGCAGTAGAGGAAATTGGTCGTAAAGTGAGAATTTAGTCCATGTTTTGTCGAAAAGAGGTGGGAAAGGTATGAAGGACGTGTCGATCTTTCTGAGAAAAAACGAGAAAGGGAAGGTGGAGAAGTACATCAGCAGGTAATTTTTCGTTGCGTTTAGGGGTGGGGCCAGAGTTGGTCCGACTTTTGGGAAGGGGCGGCGATTTGAAAATTGCCGCACGTAGGGGAGAGGCCGGAAGCATGCAGAGGAGAGCGAAGGTCTAAAATCGAAGGAGTCAGTCGAGGCCCCAGTACCCGAAACGGGTGAGGAAACAGCACCGGCAATAGGGACAAGGCTGAGGATGTCTGAAGAGGGTCCAAAGACGAGGCGGGGTCAGAACGGGGTGCGGTATCAAAAAGGGGGCCCGGGGGTACCAGGTTCATGGACAGGGCTGCCATGGGTTAGGTTACTTCTTTTTTTTTGTTTTTAAGAAAAAAAAGAAAAAAAGAAAAAAAAATAAAAATAAAAAAAAGAAAAAAAAAAGGGGGGCCCCGGGGGGGGATAGTTCCTGGAGGGATGAAAGGGCCAGAAATTCCCTCCGCGCCCAAGAGGGCTCGACACCCCTTAGCGCAGATGCAGCATGGGAACCCGTGCCATACCCACCCTTCATGCCGTAAACCGCAATCGGGATAGCAACCTCCATCTGCCGAGCTACCTCGGTGGACAAAAAAGAGGGCGGCCCGGGTATCCGCCACAAAGCATACCCCCTTCGCCACCACCCCCCAATCCCAAAGGTGGTTCCAGAGCTACCCCCCGTGCCCCGCACCCAAAGTACTCCGGGGTACCGGAGGGGATCGGGGGGCTCCCTAGGCAAACCAGATTCCCCGGCAAACTCGCCCCCCCAAGAAACCTCAACGGAATGGATGGACCCCGGTGTCCTTTCTCCTACCCAGGAATAGCGCGCCTGTGGGAGAAATCCCAAAAGGGCAAAAAGAGGGAAGGGGAAAAGGGAGGAGTGGGGAGGAGGAGGAGGAAGGAAAAGGGAGGATGGGGGGGGATGGGATAGGGGAGGGGAATTGGGGGGTAATTTGGTTCGGTTGAGGAAAAGACCGATAGGTCTAATTCCTCAGAAAGAGCCCTTCACCACCCAAGGACCCCCCCCTTTAAGAGGAAAACAACTTTAGTACTTGGCAAACAAAAAATTTAAACAAAAAATGCATACTTCTACATAATACCACATGGCACGAGAATTTTGAGTTGCCAAAAGTAGATCCGAGTTGGAGAGAAAACCTGGAGTGCTGAAGCTCTGCTGCAAGGGTTTTTTCAACATCCCTGGCCATCTCGTCAATTCGTCGTTGAACTGTATTGTCACTCAATGACAGACTTTAGGATAGGTTGACAGTTTCTTCAAAACAAGACTCAATCACTTCTGCAATTGCTGGAATTAAGATTTCCTCACCAATTTTATGTGATTTTCCTTTCTTTGCTATGGTAAGGGAGATATTGTATGATGCCTTCAGTCCTAATTTATCATCAATATTGGCAGGGGCTTAAAAAAAAAAAAAAAAAAAAAAAAAAAAAAAAGTCTTAAAATTTGGTCGATTTTTAAACTGTTCTTTCTGTACCTTAAAATAGTCAATGTCTTTATTTGTCTCATCAAAGTGAACCCTCTCAAGGTGGTCTTTCATCTTTGAAGGTTTCATGGCATCATTACTGAATTCAGTCTTCACATAATAGGCACATTGGCATTGTTTCATTTGTAAATGAAGTTACGAATCCAGATTTTAAGTATTATTGTGAATACTGTCTGCACTTTCTTGGTATTAACAGCTGCCATTGTGGGTGTTACAATGCCAAATTTATAGCAAATGCACAACAATCACTTCTTTGGTACCACTCCTCTCACTATGGGTATTGAGAATGTACTGGTTCTCAAACAGTTTGAGGTGAGGGAGTCCACTCAGTACAGAAAAAACAGGAATACCAAACATACATAAATCAGATACACCATGCAACCATGTCCCTAGACATTTACTGACCCTTGGGGGTTGAAACTGACCACTACGGGAAACCCTACACCCTAGATGCTAGGACTTGGGAACATAAGCAAGCAATCGAGTCGGATGCTCTGATATCGAATATGTAGTCGAGAGTTTAGTGTATATAGTAATACACCAGATAATCAAGCAGTCACCCCTCAATATATCCAATTCAGGTTTAAAATTTAGCCAGTGTTTTTTCTCAAAGAAAAAATTCAGGGGAGGGGAAGAGAATTAGTTTTTTTTTCTTTTGGACCACCCAAGCTGAGTAGGTGCTGACAACCTTTGCTCCAGATTTTGGGGTGAACAGACCAAGCACCATTAGGCTGTACACCAGTTGTGCATTCCTGTAAATGAAACTGAAGTTACTGTACTTTCTTTAATTAGAATATTGCAAAGAACTATGTGAAGTATCAGAAATGGGCTTGTTCATCAAATATCAGAACTACGTCCCTAAAATTTCCACTAATCATCATATGCTAAAAATAACAGTAATAACCTGAGCAAAGGTATTCCATACCTGCAACAGGACTAACAAGAGGCCACCATTAGAAATGAGAGAAATGGAGCCAAAGGAATACAAATTATTTCTTTAGATGAAGCACCATTAAGCTTGAATACCAGCTGTGAATTCCTGTAAACGAAAATAGAAGTTACTGTACTTTAATTAAAATACTGCAAAGAACTTCATGCAAAGCATCAGAAATGGGTAATCAAATATCAGAATTACATCCCAAAAATTTCCCACTAGTCATATGCTTTAAATAACAATAATAACCTAAGCAATAGTATTTCATACCTGCAATATTACTTACTAGAGGCCACCATTCCAAACAGCTCAATGGATATTATGACAGCCATCAAGTTTAAAAGATTATATGAACAAATTATCTAAGACAGGATGCCACAAGCAAAGCTCTGCTCAAGTAGCTTGAATTGGATAGTTTATAGATATTCACAATGAGACTTTAGGAAGTAGAGGAGATGTGTAAACCAAGAACTGACGTTGAAGTAGACAGGCATCTGGGGATTTAGAAAAGGCATATGATAGGGTGGACAGAGGAGCAATGCGATAGATGTTGCAAGTGTAGGCAAGAGGTAGGCTTCTTAAAGCAGTCAAGACTATGAAGATAGCAAAGCTCAAGTTTGTGTATGCGAGAAAGTTATATTTTCCTGTAAAAATGGACCTTAGACAGGGATGTCACCATGGTTGTTTAATATTAAAGATGGGGTCATAAGATGTGAATGCAAAGGTGTTGGGAAGAGACGTGTGATTAAAAGATAAATATGGAGTGCTAGAGTGGAGAAGTAGTGCCTACACTGGGTATATTTCAGTTCAGAGCAGCATCTAAGCTGTGATGTCTTGTCCCTGGGAAAACAGTGAAGTGATGAAAATTTATTTTTCAGGTCACCCTACCTCAATGGAAGACTACCAGTGTTAAAAAAAAGAGGACTGGCTGAAGATAGTGTTGTACAAGTGTCCAAGTCATCATTGATACATAGTAAATGCAAATTACCTAGGACAGTCCAAAAAAATTAATGTAGAAATCAGTCATGAATTATAACCTTAAAAACCAAAACAGCTTAGTATTTAAACTGAAAAATAAATGACAGGAAAAAAAATTAAGTGAACAAGTTATTTACATAACGTAAAGAAGGAACACTGCAGCAGGCCTACTGGCCCATGCGAAGCAGGTCAAAGTCTCCCACCGATTCAAGCCAATGCCCCAACCTAGTCAGGTAAGGTCACATTCACTTAAGGAACACGACAGCTGATCTAGTAGCACAAGCTAATCAGGTCCAACTCGCACCTACCCACACCCACTCATGTATTTATCTAACCTATTTTTAAAACTACACGTTTTAGCCTAACTACTCAGGAGTTTGTTCCACTCATCCACAACTATTACCAAACCAGCACTTTCCTATATCCTTCCAGAATCTGAATTTTTCCAACTCAAAACCATTGCTAAGAGTCCTGTCTAGGCTATGTATTTTCAACACGTTATTTACATCCCCTTTATTTATTCCAGTCTTCCAATTATACACCTCAATCATATCCCCTCTAATTCTACACCTTTCTAGAGTGCAGATTCAGGGCCCTCAGTCTATCCTCATAGGGAAGATTTCTGATCCATGGGATCAACTTTGTCATCCTCCTTTGTACGTTTTCCAGAGCATTTATATCCATTCTGTAATACGGTGACCAAAACTGTGCAGCATAATGTAAACGAGGCCTAACCAAGGATATAGAGTTGAACAACCTGAGGACATGAGCATTATAGTCCTAGACGAGTGGGGAAAAAAATGTGATCAACCTCTACAAAGGAGATTTAGTTTAGAATTATAGATAATTATCAAAAAATTGATGGAATAAATGACAATCTGAAGCTACTGTCAATTAGCTAAATAAAATTAAGGTCTAAAGACACATTTCTGCCTTATAAATTTTACTTTACCCACTGCAGCAGTCATACTGGCATAAGCTAGTCAGGTGCAACTCACACCCACCTATATATTTATAGTACATCATGATTTAGCTCTGGTTAGCAGTAACTTAAAGCCAAGACAACAGTGCATTAGTGTTCAAAACGCTAATTAATCCTCTTAAGTTTATTCAGGTATGGGTACACAAATAGTCACAAATTATCATACATAGCAGCCTATGTAGATTACCTAAGATAACCCAAAAAAGTCCAAGTGACACTTCTATTGGTGTCCTTCTCTATTACATCGAGTTTATACGTTATATATCCTTGGTAAGGCCTCAGATTATGCTGTGCCAAGTTCTGGTCTCCATATTACAGAATAGTTATAAATGAGCTGGAAAACAAAGAAGGATGACAATAGTTTATATTTAAATTTTTTTTCTTACGTCAAGAAAAGACCTGAATCTGCAATCTGTAGAATATAATTAGATACGATGGTATGTTAATGGACAACAGCAATGAATAAGGATATAACTAAATTTATGAAAGAATAACAAGAGACAGGACTCGGTAATGAGCAAGCTGGAAATATTTAGTTTGAAAGAATATAGGACTCCGATGGTTTGGTAAAAGTTGAGGATAAGTGGAATAAACTGCCAAGTGGCATCACTAAAGGGAAAAAAACATGGCATAGGTTTAAAATTAGGTTAAAACAGACCAAAATTGGGAGAGTTATAAACCGTACCTAGCAGTGGCCAGTAGGCTTGCAGTGCGAATTTAACCTGCCGAACGTGTCAGTAGGCTATTCGTTCATTCTTATATTCTTTATACCGGCATTAATCTACGGTGTAAGAAATAACTTGAACGAGAGCATGGTCAGTGATGCAAACCCAACATGGCCCACAATTTTTAAAAATCAAAACACCTCAGCATTTCTTACAAACCTAAAAAATACCTTCGAAACCATTCCTAGCAATAATATTTCTTGGATAAATAACAAATATATTCATGTATTACAAGTAAATAACCGACTATAACGTGGATGAAGCGTGATAAAAACACACGTACCTTCCCAGGGAAGACCTCGGTGATGGCGGCTGCTGCTGAGTGGAACAAATATTATCAACTACCTCACCAAGAAAACTAATTTATATTACAAATTATATTTATATATATATATAATGTTCTTATATGTATTGTTATGTGCAATTAATAATTAAATTATTGTTAAAATGTTATATAAAGAAGTATATCTGCATAACATTATTTTAATACATTTTCAAACAGCAGTATTAAATATATGTACAAACAATATTATAATTACTTATTATAAAAAAATTACGAAGAAAATATTATATTCGTACGAAAATTGACTGGAAAATATTATATTTTTGAAAATAATGTTAACTTTGTCAAGCTAAAATATTCCTTTAGAAACTTTAATATATATATTTAAATTATTTAATATAATTATTATCGGTATAACTAATAATCCCCTCAAGTATTTTTAACTGTTTTAATATCCATATGAAGAGGTTAAACCCGTAGGGGTGATGGTTCCTTTAATATTTAGTTTTGATAAGGAAAGGGTGCGTCCACTTCCTCGGATCAAAAGATTTCTCACCCAATTTTGTACTTTATGAAGTGGAAAAATAAATAAAATTAGGAGGTGAGCTGGGTTGTTATGAGAAACTTCACCTTTTTAGGGTGCAGGGGTCGAGTCCAGCTCCTGGCCCCCGCTGAGACTAGTATTAGGGGAAGGTTTAATGTTTAACCTTACTTACCCCTGGAAATGCAAGGACCTAAATGGAAATAAATCACTTTGACTTTGTTGGGTTATCCTAGGTAATTTACACTGTGTATGATAATTGTAATTATGTGTACCTGTGCCTAAATAAACTCTCGTACATTAGTGATGAAATTCCCATGTTTTCCTTCTCTAGGAGCTGTGTCATCACACACTGACACTCCTTCCTGCTGCTGCTGCTGCTCACCAGTTAGTCAGGTCCATCACCAGGTTCTTCTAGGCCAACCAAAAGCCTGTTGGTGTTGATTCCAGTGTTGTGTACTCAGCTCAAAATTCACATTTTCATTTATTTTTATACAGTACAAAAATAATTTGTAGTTTAGATCAATAAAGCATTGTTAGGTACAAACAAAGAAAAACTAATCCTAATACTTAAAGACTACTTATGCATTTCACCACAATTATGTGTACAATAAGAAAGGAAGCTAATGAACAAATGTTAGAAATATGACTTCTTTCCTGTCCAGTAAAGGTTTTTTTCCCCCTCTCCTGGCTGCATGAGCCTATCATACCTGTTCTTAAAACTATGTATAGATCCTGTCTCTATCATCCCAATGGAAATAAATCACTGACTTTTTTGGGTTATGCTAGGTTCTCTGCATATATGCTGCTATGTATGAAAAATCTATGTAGCTGTATTTGTGTATCCCTGAAAAAAACTTACGTATAGCTCAATTTTTGAGCAGTCAGTCGCCATAAGGGGAAAACAACGGAGATCATTCTTAATTCTTTCTGCCAATTATGGGAGAATAAAGCTACCTCTGCACTCCAATTTTTCTTCTATGGAATCTGACAAACTTCTGTGTAAGATCCACTTCAAATGTCTGTAAAGCTTCACTTGCTTAACTCCTGCTTGTTCCTGAAATTTGCACTTTGCAGCTTTTCCCTTTAGTAAGTTTATTCAGGTATACACAAATACAGTTACATAGATTTATCACACATAGCAGCGTATGTGTTGGAACCTAGCATTACCCCCAAAACAAGTCAAAATGACCTGAAGGGGGTTATCCTAGGTTCTCTACACATATGCTGCTATGTATGATAATTCTATGTAACTGTATTTGTGTATACCTGAATAAACTTACTTACTTACTTACTTATTCTATTGGGGTCCTTTCTACTTCATAAATTTTTCCATGGTTGTCTCGCCTTACCAGATCTCTTTGGAGCCAGCCAAGAAAGCCCAGTCCTCTTCATTCAAAATGAAATTCAAAATTTTCCTTTTTGCATAGTATACAATGTGTAGTTTACATGTAGTGAAATATTGTTAACCACAAAGGGAAAACCACTAACAGTGACATGTTTCATTGGGGTTCAAAGGAATAAGTCACATTGTCTGACTTATTTGGGTTATCCTAAAATTTTTTACCTATGTATGATAAATTTTTTTTATGTATACCGTACTTAAATAAATTTAGTTGCATCTATGTCCATTTACGGGGCCAGAAGCTATGGCTCAACCCCTGCAAACCACACATAGGTGAGAAACTAATGGGCTCCCCTGACTCCCGTGAACCCGGGTTCAATAAGGTGTAAACTTTGGTGACTCTTAACAATCTCAACAACAAAAAGAAGAGTCAGCTGTGCACCTGACATCTCTTATTTAAGTGTCTCCTACTTACAGCCACACACACTCTCTCTCTCCTACTTACACCTCACACTTGCTACAAAGAAGGAAAGTGTGTGGTGGTCCTACATATATAGAGGAAAGACATAACTAGCGTGAAGTCTGCCATTTACACAGCAATGTTCGGTGCCTTGTCTTCCAACACTACTCAGGGTAATATTTATATACAAAAACTTTATTCATATAAAGTGGACCCCTTAAGGAAGGGTTTCCCTTTATGCTGGTGAGGGGCTCTTGATCTAGGGGTACTGGATCTGTGCTCCAGTTCCATGAATTAAGCCTAAATACCTTCCTTCCCCCAATAGGCGCTGTATAATCCTACGGGTTTAGCGCTTCCCCTTGATTATAATAATTTGTATAAAGTGGAGCTGTATGACCCTTGTAGGTTTAGCACTTCTTTTTGATTATAATAATAATAATATAAAGTGGAGTATATTACACAGTTGAGGTGACTGACATATAGGTACTTTATAAAAACCCCTTATTAGGTAAGTAAATTTATTTAGGTACTAAGGACCCCAGTAATAATAATAATATAACAATCATTATTTCTACAAGTACACGATACAACTTATACGGACCACGAGGTAAGATAAGTTTTTGTTCGGATTTTTAGCCCCGGAGGGTTAGCCACCCAGGATAACCCAAGAAAGTCAGTGCGTCATCGAGGACTGTCTTATTTCTATTGGGGTCCTTAATCTTGTCCCCCAAGATGTGACCCACACCAGTCAACTAACACCCACGTACCTACTTGCTGCTAGGTGACCGGGACAACAGGTGTAAGGAGATGTATCCAATGTTTCCACCCTGCTGGGAATCAAACCTGGACCCTCAGTGTGTGAAGCGAGAGCTTTGCCAGCCAGGCCACAGGGCCCATGTAACAGTGATATACTATATAGAAAGCCCCTGATTATGCAGAGTATTTCTGGCAACTTAGGGTAATTTTGTCCCCAGGATGTGACCCAAACCAGTCAGCTAACACCCAGGTACCAATTTATTGTTAGGTGAACAATGATCGCAGGTGTCTTAAGGAAACACGCCCTAACGAGACTGAGCTGCAGAGGTGCTTGTGGCTTGGTTGGTAGCTTCCTCAGCTTACACTGAGGTGACTCGTGAAATCGTAATGACACGATTGCAAACAAACCATACCATGGGCGGGATTTGAACCTGCGGTCAGAGACTCTCAAAACTCCAGACCGTCGCATTAGCCACTGGACCAGCTAGCCACAATAAGATTCGTTCAACTAGGTATATTTCTACACCATAGGAAGGTTAGCATAGGCACCACTGTGACCACAAATGCAAGTTTTTTACACTGAGGTGTGTGGGATCAGTCTTCAGTGCAGGTGAAATGTTGGGTATGTTCACCTAGCAGTAACTAGGTACCTGAATGCTAGCTGGTTGTTGTGAGTTGCAGCCTGGGGATGGCATTTCTAAGTTCCCAATGGAAATAAGACACAGTCCTTGATGTCCCACTGAATTTATTGTGTCATCCTGGATTATCTCTGGGTTAAAAATCCAAATAAAATCTTATCTTAATCATTGTGATTGAATTAGGAACAGCTGATATTTATGTTTAACATCTTTGTATATTATATTAGCCTTTACTGAAAGCTTTTTTTTTCAGATCATAATCGCCCTGAGCTTTATGAAGAGGTTAAGCTTTATACTAATGCTCGGAAAGAGAAAAAGTGAGTGTTTACTAGTAAATAATGTTCTTATATTTGTTATGTATATGTTATTTGGGCAGAAGCCAACAAATGGTAAATATAAAACACGTGGATAGAGTAAGCCCTTTATTTAAAGATATTTCATTTCACTCGACTGTTCAACTGCCTCCCAGAATACATAAGAGGGATTACCAATAGACCCCTGGCTGTCTTCAAGAAGGCGCTGGACAGGCACAGAAAGTCAGTATCTGATCAGCCGAGTTGTGGTTTGTACGTTGGTTAATGTGAGGCCAGCAGTAACAGCCTGATTGATCAGGCCCTGATCCACCACGAGGCCTGGTCATGGGCCAGGCCACGGGGGCATTGATCCCAAAACCCTCTCCAGGTATACACTCTCTGTGGAGCTTTATGAAATATGTACTGTACCTAATAAAGCTCCACCGAGTGAAATGTCAATAACTAGAAGGTTTACTCTGTTCATATGTCTTTTATGCTGTATGTTGTTTGATTATTTTGAATAAATATATCAGTGATCATTATTTGTATTTTTTAATGCTAGATTGGTGTGAGATTAGAACTTTTAAAGTACATGATGGAGAAAATTTATTTTTGAAATCACATAAAAGTAATAAAATACATTGATGGTTTTCCAATTTGTTTATTCTCTTTTCTGAAAAGCCCATGATGTTGCACTGCATTTTGGGCATATATTTTTATATTTTTTGAAAGTTGATGTAAATAGTGCTCATTAGGTGTTCCCTTGAATGAAGTTCCTTGATGCTTATGAAGGGCTCTTGATCTGGGGAATTGGACTTGTGCTCCAATCTCTTGAATTGTCTGAATGCCCTCCATTCCCCTAAGCTCTGTATAACCCCTACTGATAGTTCTTCCCAATTAATGTAATAATAATAATAATGTACATTAAGGGTGTCTAGAAACAAAAAAAAAATATCAGAAACTAATGAAAAACTTAGATTAGATAATATAATGAACTTGAGCT